TTATTATTATTATTATTATTATTATTATTATTGCAAATATATTGTTTATATACCTTTATTTTTTATCAAATATATTATTTTTATTAAAAAAATATTATTTAATTTATTTATCAAAAATACTGCTAAAGTAATGACAATCTAAAGAGAATCATAAAAATAATTGGAATTAGCAAAAATAAATAAATAAAAATAAAAAAGAAAGAGAGAGGGGAAAAAACTGGGCCCTTTTAATGTAGGACCTCAAAAACTTAAAAATATGTCATATTTTACATTAAAGAATTAAACCGATTCTAAACTAAATTAAAACTGAAACATTTAAATAACATGTACCAGCTGCTCTCCTTGAAAAATGCTGCATTACTACTTGTTGTGTATTTGCACATTGAAAATGTAAATATCTTAACAGACGAGTGACTGTAAAACCGATAAAGTACCACTATTTTCTCCAAATATGAAATGCGAGAACCAAACATTCTCTTCCTTCCTGCCACAAACTGAATAATAACTTCCCACAGCCGTCTGATGCCCTGATGAGCACCTAAACACTCAGACGAGGGTCCCGCATTACAGCAGCTTCTTTCAGCACCTGCCTGAATGTTTGCATTCAAGAAACAAATCTTCTGTTGTAGCTTCATAACTCAATAACAACAAGCATGCAACCAGATACAGAGTTCAGCGATGCATCACGGCCCTCGGTCCGCAGGTTAGCAAAGCACCTGAAACAGCGGCTTTGAGAGACATGCAGAAGTGTGCAGGAAACATCAGGGTCTGTGTTTGATTCCACGATCCTCAGACACTACAGAACCAAGAGTAAAAAAGCTTTGAAATGGAGATGCCTGCATATTATCTGGCGTTAATGAGTCATTTTATAGTGAGCGGCTCCATCGATCGCGTTTCACTCAAAGACTCTTCTTCTTTCAGAAAAGCTGAACTACATCAAGAAGAAAAAGAAAAACTTCTGAGGCCTTCCCTGGTTTAATCTGAGAGGAAACTGTGCAGAAATGTAAGAGCGGGAAGGAGAGCGAGACTGTAAAAGTAATTACATGAAAGATGAAAGGTGTCACACCTGACTAGAAAAATGAGTCAAGTGTTAATTTGTCTGGTTGAGATGTAATGATTAGTAGCGGGAAATGACTTATTAGCAAATCACAGTCAGGCTTTCAAGTGCAGAGCAAAAGTGTCTAAATATTAGCCAAACCAGATCATTACTGGCAAATAATATTTAGCATTAATTAAAAACAGAAATTAGTAAGATAACCACATTGCAGCCATATGGGTGAAATCACACAAAATCTGTCAAGAACATGTCGGGGTAAAATAATGCACCTTATAAAAAAACAATTTTAAAAAGATTTTGCATGAAGAAAATGAGGCCTTTTATTTAAGGAAGAAATAAGCACCTTCTTAATGCAAAAAGACTAACTAACTAATTTTACAAATAATAATAATGATACTTTTGTTTACACTAGCGTATGTCAAATGTTTTGGGTCATTAAGATTTAATAATGTTTTTGAACCAAAGCTGCATTTATTTGATCAAAAATACTGTCAAATTTGTAAAATATTATTACAGTTTCAAACAGCTGTTTTCTATGTGAATATCTGTTAAACTGTAATTTTTCAGGATTCACAGATGAGCAGAAAGTTCAAAAGAACAGCATTTATTTGAAATAGAAATCTACTGTAACATGAATTCTTCTGTGACTGTCCTCAGTGGTTTGACCTCTGACCTCTGCAGGGCTGGTGTCGAGCGAGAAGGCGAGTGCGAGTTACCTGTTGAGTCGTCCAGGTGGAGGTCAAGCGGCTGTGATCGCGGTGGGCGGAGCTCCAGAATCACTGGACGCTCGACCGGGAGCCTTAACCCTTCAGCTGCTGCAGCGCAAGGGCTTCGTTAAACTCGCCCTCAAACACGGGTGAGAGAGAGAGAGAGAGAGAGTGTGTGTGTGTGTGTGTACTGATGTGAGTGTGTGTGAGAGAGTGTGTACTGATGTGTGTGTGTGTGTGTGTGTGTGTTTGTGTTAAATCCAGATCCAGAAATCTGTTCTGCACAGGTTTCTCTGATTGTGTTGGTTCTTTGAGATTGAAGTCCTGTCGTCTGCTGACCTGCTGCGGGTGAATTTGCTGTAAGTAACGTTAGATATCAGGTTTCGGGCTGCAGGGGTGTTATTGTGCAACATACGAGTATTTGCGCGTGGGATTCTGCTCTGAATCTGTGGAATCAAATCTGATTTTAATTCTAACCCTGATATCACACGTGCATCTCAGAGACGTCTATTTGACGTCTGCAAGACGTATTTTTTAGAGAGTTTGCTCATCTGCTATACTACGTCTATAGGATGTTTCCTATCAGATTTCAAATAGACGTTTAGAAGATGTCTTTAAGATGTTTATGATGTAACACTGACATCTTAGAGACGTCTATCAGATGTTTGATGCTTTCCAGATGAAGAGATCTTTAACAGACGTCTTGCAGACGTACCTGTGCTCTCTGGGAATATTTATGGTTGCATGCAAGTTTTACTTTAGAGTATAAGCATATTGTGAGTTTTGGTGTGCAGAATAATGAAGGTTCTGCAGTTGTAATTACTGGCAAACACCTGATAGACGTCTTTTTTAGCTCTCGCACAAAATTGCTGAACCTTTCCACTTGCTCTAGTCTTAATTTGAAGTTAAATGCATGATCTGGTTTTAATTAGAATCAAATGAGCAATGCAAGTTTCACTCCGTAAGTGTTTTTAGCTTTTGCACAGAATTGCTGAACTTTTTCTCCCGCTTCAGTTTTAATTTGAGGCTTAAAAGCATGATCATTTTTTCAAATCTGTAACATTTAGAGTTTAATTCTATTAAGGGTTTCCTCTTAAAGTTGTTTGAGCTTTCTTGCTCTAGTTCTAATTGAAGTTAAATGCATGATTCACTTTTAATTTGAACCAAACGAGCAGTCAGGACTGTAACTCCGGGCATTGAGATTGAGTTTGATTCTTTGCAGGTTCTTCTCTTAAAGTTGCTGAGATTCCCATCAGCATTTGGGTTTTTGCTACAGGGACGTCGACGGAAACAGATTTTCTTGTTTTTGTAGTTGCCAAACTTGTCCTGCAGCCCTAAAATGATGTCCTGACACGTTCAGGCCTTGAGCTGCAGCGAGAAACCATGTAAATGCCCTAATTATGGTGCTTATTTCTTAACATCTCTCGGATTGGCGGTTTGATCTTGAGAGAATCAGATCTGCGTGTGCATGGCGATCAGGAGCCTCTGTATTGTGTCCTGAGCTGTGAACACACATACTGTACGACTGCCAGAGGAAACAGCCATCAGAGCCGAGCCTTGCGCAACCGCTGGGCAGAGAAACTGCTCTTGTTACTGTACTGGCTGCAGTTACACTCGAAAGAAAGAGGACCGAGCCAAGTGCAATGGAATACATTTAAGTTTTAGGCTTTGACAGAGAATATGATTGATCTGATCCAGATTGACCCGAGAGACTCGCTTTCAAATGGTTAGGACATTCGTTTCTTAAAGCTTTTTGCTGTTTGGTTTCTACTGCAAAATAATGAACAAAGATTGAGTTTGGAGCGCCCAGGGATAAAGTCAACCCGCTCGCACACACTCGGTCCAGAATGAGTGCCGGAAAGAAACGAAGTGGTTTTCAAATCACCAGCGTCACGTCGGACTACAATCAGGGTTCTGGAGAAAACCATCTGGAGGAGCTCCTCAGCCTTGGAACTCAAAGAGCCATGCCCCCTTCTTCCAGAAACCCCGCCCATGGGAGGAGCCCCAGAAGCCAGACCACATCGCCCACTCAAATCCTATCCAATGGGCTGTCCCTGCGCCAAAACCCCGCCCTCCAGACGCAACAGAGCTGCAGTCAGCCGACCACGCCCGTCACGGCTAGGAAGCAAAGCTCGCTGGATGCCGCCGGGGCGTCGCGTTTCCGCGTCGTGCGTTTGGATCAAGGACCGGGCGAGCCGTATAAACGCGGCCGTTGGACGTGTGTGGATGTGATGGAGAGGGAAGCCGAGGAGTGTGGGCTCCGCCGCGTGATTGACAGCATGAGACACGCCCACTCGCTGGAGTCCTTAGAGACGGTCGGGCTGAGCGGAGCCGAAGGAGCGGTGGGCGGAGCCAGACTCAAACCGTTGGACGTGCATTCAGGTCACTTGGTACACTCACAGGGCACCACCCACCTGCTGACCCAATGCTGGATAGACTCCGCCCACAGCGGCCCGCCCTCACCCACACACCACACGCAGCCAATCACGTCACCGAACACGCCCCGGATACGCAACACACCCGCCTCTCTGCGGCTCGACATGGACGCCGTCGGAAAGGTGAGCAGTCGCACACTCGTCTGATGCATTCATCCATTTCTTACTCAAAGTCTTGCGTGCATTTTCTCTTCGTAGCTTCGGACCACCCGCTCTCAGCCGGTGTCACCCAGACCGCACCTGGGTCGGGACAGTCCCTTCCATCCCGCGCTCATGCCCATCCAGACGCCATCCGCCCTCACGCTGGCGCAGTCCATGTTTGGAATGGGACGAGCGTTTGAGTTCGTGGGAGACGACGGGTGAGACGAGTCTTGCGAGTCATGCTTTGGTTCTGTATGTCGCTGTGAACTAGCAAGAACGACAGCTATAACGATAACTGTGATACACCTTTTTTGTGTGTTGCTCGGCAACCACTTTGTAGCAACCACAACTGTTTCTGAGGAGCTACATTCTACATTGGAAGAATACTGTTTTTATTAATATCATTACACTTTATTTGCTCTGTTTTATTTTGTGAAACCTTACTACGTATATGGAATAACCGTTTTATAAAAGCAATAACCCCCGTGAAGCCGTGGTTTACAGTGAATTTTATAAATTCACTGTAAACCACGGCTTCTTGGGGCTTATTGCTTTATCCTAACTCTAAGAATGGTGTGGACGCTAATATAGTTATCGTTATAGTTATCGTTATAGGTGTTATAGGTGTGGTAATATAGTTTTCATTATAGTTCAAGTCACCTTTATTTCTATAGCGCTTTATACAATATATACAATACTAAGGCAGCTTTACAGTGGTAAACAATAAAATAATTACATGTGCATTGTAATTCTGGACATGTGCACAATTGTTGTCACATGACCTCATCATATTAGCAAATGACACTTCAGCATACTTTTACAAAGACTTATGGAAATAATCTACATAAAAGGAATTACATTAGAGTGCTTTTTTTGAACAATTTAAGACTTTGGCACATCTCTAATAATGTAATTTCATAATTCTATTGTCTTTGAAATATGGTTAAAGTGTACTGTTGTATGTACTGACAAGCATTTACGATAAAACTAAAATATACTGTAGTATTATTTGTAATACTTGCATGTGATGCATTTAAATATATTAATTAAACATTTGTAATAATGAAGTTGCAATTTAAGACATTAATATTAATTATTGAATTACACAGTAGCTACAAAAAAAAAGCTACAAAAATTAGTATGTTACTCAACATCAAAATAAGTGTACTCCTTTAAAAGCACAACAAACGATTATTAAAACATAGATTTAAAATGTACTCAAGTAAAACTTTTACATTACTATACATTTTAAAAGTGTACTTAGTGTTACGAAACAGTCATGAAAGTGAATTTTATTTAATTAATGTATATTATCTGCAAGTACAGTTTTGTGAATATCTGAAGCACACAAGTGCAAATTCAATACAATTATGCACACTTTATCAGAAGAATGATTAAACTTGTTAAAGGGATAGTTCTGTCATGGAATGCTCCAAAACAAGCAGATCCAAATGCAGAATTTATTGTAAAAAATCCAAAAACAAATTATAATCCAAATCAGGGGAAAACGGAGCATCAGAAAACGCATAACAGAAAATAATAAACCAGCAACCAGAGACACAGAAAACCGGGCTTATATGAGGATAAGTTAACAAGGCAAATGAGACACAGATGAATGAAATGAGACTTGATTGTCAAAGCAAAGGGTGATGGGAACTGAAGTCCAGAGAAACAACAATTAAGAAGCGTGCCCTCTGGTAGCCTTACATGGGCACACCAACTAGACATTGACATTACCTCCCCTCTAAGGAGTGGATACCAGACGCTCCACCAGAAAACACAAAAGTTCAGGAGGCAGACAACGGTGCCAGGGCAGGGCAGGGCGGGGCTGGAGGGACAGACCAGCGAGGCTCCGGCCGAACAACAACAACAACAACAACAACAACAACAATCATCAAGTGAGTGTATGCATTTTGGTGGTTTTATTTGCATCTTGATGCGTCCATTCAGCATTTGTATGCAATATCTCAATATTTGCATAAAAATATGTGGATGGAATCCCAACAACAACTGCTGTGACACAAAACTAGTGGCTTTAGAAGACTCATGTTTTAAAGTGCTTCTGGGGTCTTTCTGAAGTTTAAAATCATTCATCATAAATGCAAGGCAAAAAAGCAATAAACACATTCTTCAAAACATCTCCTTTTAAGTTCCACTGAAGAAAGTGAGTCATACCGGTTTGGAACGACATGACAGTGAATGAAAGATGGCATTTGACTTTCCATCAAAGTTTAGCCAACACAAAACTGGACTTTATAGAAAAGAGCATTATCAGTCTCCGTCAATCTTAATAAGAGTCCAGATATGAAAGTGAAACCGATGCTGATTTACCAAAAAGAAGACGGATTGAAGGCTGCAGAGATGGAAATCCAACAGAAAGGTCGAAACAAGAAGATAAAGAGGAATGACCCATAGGAAAAATGTATTGCTCAGTGGTTGCTTTTCCTAAGCTCAGGAGACTTAGATGAGATTCTCATATACAGTATCTCTCATTTTAGTACCAACAGCATTTCAGAAGTTTCTCCTAAAATTCCTTAGGAGAAATAAAAGTAGAAACAAATGAGACATGATAAATATTTGAGAAAAAAAGAGTCAAAACTGAGAATGTGGTAGAAGAAACATAGAATATATCTTTACTGTCTTGCTGCAATCTCTATCAAGACTCCATTATAGGAATATGTTATTGCTCAGTGGTTGCTCTTTCTAACCTCAGGAGACCTAGTGGTGATTCTCATGTATTTCTCATTTTAGTCTCAACAGTGTCTCAGATGTTTCTCATAAAAATCCTTAGGAGAAATAAAAGTAGACACAACTGAGACATGAGAAAGTTCTGAATGAAAGGAATCCAAAATGACAATGAGAGAGAAACGTGTGAGAAACATGGGATATCTCTTTATTGTCTTGCTGTAATCTCTTGCAAGACTCCATTATAAAAATGTTCAGAGGCTGCTGTTACTTTTTTTTATTGCAATGGGGTTTTTCACCTTTAATGGTCAGGACAGTAGGAGTAGAGACAGGAAACAATTGAACAGGAGCAGGAAAGTACCTTTAGCTGGGATTTGAACCCATGCTGTCTGAGGTGCGGTTGTGCTTCTGGTCGATGTGCTGTCCACAAGGCTATGGCTCTGAGAGAGGTTACTCTATGCTCAGGATACATAGGGGTGATTCTCTTATATGTCTCATTGAGATATCAGCTTTGTCTTAAGATGTC